GAGGTCAGCAGCAAAGTGCCTGCCGACTTGCGTAGCAAAAGTCAGAGGAAGCTCTAAGCGTTATCAAACACAAGGTGGGATGAGGAAGCACAATTAGCCGGAGAGCAGACAGACCAGCTCGCAGGAAACTACATCCAGCCCAGCACAAACAAGCTATTTAGCGCTGGGCTACCGCCAGCTGACCCGACACAGCCGTTCTGCAGATTTGTGAAACCAGAGCTCCGCTGGAGGCTGGAAATTCAGACCCCACCCTGCAGGTCACCCCGTGTCTATCCCTCCTGCCAGAGCTATCAAGGCTTTCAACCACTGGTCTGCACATGTACACAAGTGGGTATGTGTTTGGTAATTACATCAAAGGGATGGAGGGAACAGTATGTTTCCTCAGCTGATCAGAAAGCTAGAGATCTTTGTAAGATGACAGAAACAGTGTGGTCATAGCCTGCTGTTTGGAAACAGCCAACTCTTTCCATGTAAACAAATACTCACCTGGCCACAGAATCAGTAAGACGCACACTTTGCGCAGCAGGCATTGCAGCTAGATTAAATTCAGTGTCACTGAAGATATTTATACTGCATCAGAAAGGGAGGAGACATGCAGAGGATCCTGCCCAAATGGCATTTCTCCATGGTGCTCTCTAACAGCCGTGCTACCACAGTGACGGTCTCTCTTCCTCCAGAAGGTGCTGATTTTTCGCAAAGCGTTTTCCCTAGTAGATCTGTAAATCACTTCCAGTGCAGTCTCAGTGCAGTGCCACGACAGAGCCACTACCAGCAGGTATCTTGAAACAACAGGGTGGGGTGGCAAGTGATTTGATGTTAAAGCTCTCCCAGTTTCATGCAAGTGCCCTTGATAACCTGCAGTGAAATTTTATGAAAGCAAAACCACTACTAAAGGTGCATTTCCTAAGTTTTGTAGTTCAAACCTTTCCTGGAAAGATTCAAAGTTCTCCCAAGTAATAGCAAGCTCCTTTCAAAAAAAAAAAAAAAGACAAAAATTTAGAATTTCAATATTGCTACACGCTATTTGACATTAGACATCCAAGGCTTATAAGAAAGTAGTATCAAGAAAAAAAATAATCTCATTTTAATGTGCTTTAACACTCACCTCACTTTATGATAACTAGTCCTTACCCTGTTCTGTTCAGCAAACGACTACAAAGAGTCAAAATCCCAGAGTGATGGCTTAACTCCGGGTAAGTGCATCACTTAAGCTCTTCTGACCCATGAGCTGTTAATACCACAAGGGCCTCTTCGTGGGAAAAAAATCAGTCTCTTGGCTCACAGTGCCTACAAAAACTCCAAATACCATAAGCAAGAAAGCTGGCCACCTCTTTTTAACCCAGAAGACAAGAGGGACGTAAAACTAACAGTAAGTAGAGCTGCAAGATAGTTACAGAAAAATAAAACTGGTAAGGTGTTCTTTACAGAGAACAGAAAGCTTTTTCCAAGAAAGCTTTGAAGGGCTCAAGCTTCCTGGGAAATTCCACTTCGGTGCAATTAAGTCTATTTTAAGGAAACATATCTCAGTGCAACAGCTCACCAAGTAAAGTATTTTAAGGAGTTAATAGTCACAGAAATATACGCACGAAATTTATACCATTAGAAAATGGCTAGTTAATCCTGCTTCAAAAGCAAGGATGGAAATTGGGTTTAAGGTTCTTACTTGACCAGCTGGAAAGCCTGTTTTATTAGGTTTATAAGGACTGCTTGAAAGATTTACCAAACACACAGTGACACAGTGCTGTTTCCATGGTCACATGCACTGGAATTTAAAGGACTTGGAAAGGCAGTCTCCATTTATTATGAACTGCACCAATACTTTCACAAGTATAATTTACTCCCTGGCCTGCTCCCACCATATGCTCTTCTAAGCCCCACGTTCCCGTCTCCTTTCCACAAGAAGCCATGTCACGCACCTCCCTCTGTGTGGTCTACGCTGAAATTTAAAACAAACAAACAAACAAACAAGGCTCTTCCAACCCAGGCAGGGGAAGAGCCCCTGTACTCATATCAAAGACCAAATTACTGCTTTTTTCTTTCTCAGCATGGCAACGCCAGTAAGCAGCTGCAAGCACTGTATGTGGACATCCGCAATTCAGAGGCAATTAGGATGTCTGGTAGAGCTTGACACCCTTACCATTGCTGAGTTTCCACTGTGCCCTGACTAATCAAGTCCTCCAATTATTCCTGGATCAATGCGTGTTTACAAGGCTGTACACGGAACAGAAAGCACAGAAACTTCCTGGATTATTTCAGAGACCACAAAAACGGGAGATTCTCAGGCTAGCACCTCCAAAATACCAGGTAGACACATTTGGAACCAGTTTCTTGTTTCCAAAGGCTGAACTATCAGATTAAAATACACCAAATACTTTCCCAAACATTTCTCCCAGGGGAAGGCTTGTAGTTACCACCGAGATATTTTGCAGCCGCAAATAAGGAGCTGAGCAAAAGGAGATTTGATCTGCAACAAATGAAAGCATTGCGGAAACCTTAAAGCAAAAGACGGGTAGCTTCAGATCGGCAGCTTACAAACAGATCTAAGGAAGGCCCTCTGAAGGATGGCTACGGCTAGCGAGCCCCTGCCATGAGCAGTGAGAAACAGCAAACCATTGCCAAGTTGTAGCCTAAAAGCCAAAGAATGTGGTCAGAGATGAAGAAAAGCCCGTGATGGTTCACCAGAGAAACACACTATGCAACGCTTTAACCTCACATAAAGGGAGATTAGAGCCTTGTGACTTATTAAAACCACCTCTGCATTTACTAAGGTGCAGCACTACAAGAAATTGTTCCTGTTGTGGGAACAGTTGTACATCAAACTCCTGCGTGGATTCTCCAGAGTCTTGTAAGACCTCAACTCCATGCAACAGTCCCCTCCCTGAGTGTATAAACCAAACTTCCCACTCTTCTCCACAGGCACCTCCGCTGGAGGTTGTTTTCACAAACAAAAGCCTTTTCATCCAAGCTCTAGATCTGGTTATTCTGAATTACTGATCTGTTTCCAGGTGCTCTGCTGCACTTGCGCTGTTTTATTTCAAGATGAAAGTGGTTACCGTTTAAAATGGACTATCAGGTGTTAATCAAGGTAGGTCAGGCCACCAGCCAGGGTGCAACACGCTTTAATTCTGCTCCCACCGCAGAGATCAGCAATCTCCTATTTATAGAAAACATGAAAGTGACTGCAATCCTCTTTTTGCCAAAGAAGCAATTCAGAGACACTGTTTACCCCAAACAGTTGCAATGGTAAAAGGACAGCAGCCCGAAGAGCCATGCCAGTGTTACACAACTACTTCTGGTTAATCCCAGCGCTCTCCCAGTTCACCATCACCAGTAAAAGCCACTCCACTTTCAGGAAGACAAGCCCTCTGGGTGCTTGCACTAATCACAACACGTTCTCAAGACTAATCTACAACTGAGTCGGCCCACAGCAGTGCAAGAGCAAGATACCAACGCTCAAGGGATTGAGTACCCCAGCTGACCTGGGCAACGGCCAGGCTTTTGCTTACATTCAGCACTGCTCCCGTCCAAGACAAAGGTAGAAAATGGCTAAAACAAAGCACTGCAACAATCAGATTCTCTCAGAGAAGAACTGTTCTGCTTAATTTTAGGATTGTCTTTCTTGTCTCTTTACTGTTGTGCATTTCTGAAAACACAAATAGTTTTGCATATGCAACCAACGCAAAGCTGAAGTCTACTGGTTACTTCCTCAAAGAGCTCAGCTCTGGAACATCATCAGTAGGCTTCAGAGTGAATCAGCTATCAATACAAGGAGTATGCTAGGAGAGGCACACACGCTCTCACTCTGTTTCTAGGACATGCAGCTTCACAAGACGCGTTACTATGCCGTGCTTAGACCCAGGCAGATGCAAGCACACACTTAAGAACTGTCCTCAGTTGGGAAGTGGCTTGTTTTTGAAGAAGATTACAAAAAGTAATTACATTTTATGGTTGACTATCATACAGTCACCAATGTACAGCTATACAGAAATACAGTACAGGATACTCTGAATTTTATATGTGTATTAATATACTAATACCTGACGTCCATACACGTCCTCAAGTAGCTGCACTCATCACACAGTTGCACGCTCACATTTGAACACACTCAGTAGCTGAGCATGTGCATTGTATCACTAAAATATATGCAGAGAAGTTAATTGCAAAGTAGCTCCAAAAACGGTGACCAATTTTAGACTCACGTGTACAAATGCTCAAAGTTACAGTACTACCACAACGGTCGTTACTCACACCACTGTGTAGAGCAATGCAAAGCACTATGAACAGTGCAAGAAGTCCAGATCAGGAACCGCTTGGAGAACCATGACTGGTTAAAAGATTGCAGCAACAGTTGTACTGAGTTTTTCAGCCAGGAACCTGACCCTTATCTGTTCAGCACAGCTTGCACGCCACGTCTTTGGTACAAGATCTACCTCAGTCACACCAGCAGTCCACCAATACGTTCTCTGACAGTGGTTGGAACGGATACATCAGGGAAACGTAAGAAACAGTGTGCAAAAGAGAATAAAAATTTGGTTTTACGCACCTCTCACCTTGCAGCTAGCTAAGGGCCTTGAGACAGGAGTCTTAATACTTTCCCTTCCTGTCCAGTTTAGTTTTAGCCATACAAAGCCCACTGTTTCTTTAAATTTCTTTATCTGCTTTATCCACTGGCAAGAAAATCCAAGGAGCAGTCACGAACTTAATACATAAATTTATTTCCCCATCAGGCCTAATCTAGTGGTTCCTTTACAAGACAATCTAGCCTATATTTAAAAATAATATACATTTCTATAGACACATTTTGCCAGGATCACAACCTATCAAATAATTAGCCAGTGAAGTTTTGCAAACCATTCATGAAATACACAAACGTCCATGAGGACTCTATGTCAGTAGAGGAGTATAATGCATGAATGAATGCCATTTTATTAGCCTGTCTCCAAAAAACAATGTTAAGTTATTGGGACAATGGGATGACCCCATGCTGAATTAAGAAATAAGAATGCTTTGGTATACGTTTTCTAGGTACAGCCTTTGTACTGTCCAAGGGTTCTTGGATAGTGCTGACAAGGCATGAATTCATTCCTGCAAGGTTTAATGCATTTGAACAGATCCCGTTGCCTGCCACGCCGACATACCTAAATTCTTCATCCCGATGCCCTCACTGGTATTAAAAACAGAAAACAAACAACAACAACAAAATATACATGACTTCATGTGCTGGCAGCAGATGCACCTGGCAGGATCACACTACGAAGAGAGACGATGAGCACAGCAAGACAGCCCTCGGAGGGTGGGACAGCCGCTGGATTAACAAACAGGGGACAGAGAACCACACCGATATGAGGAAAAGGACGAGGAGTAAAGAGTAAGGATCGCAGCCTAACAGAGCAGGGCCACAGCAACACAGAACTGAGGCACTACTGAGAAAAAACGCCCCCAAGCCTTTGCATTAACGCAGCACAGCATCCTTGCAACAGACACTCCCCAGGAAACGCACATGCAAACCAGGAACCCCTCCGAACCCGGCACTGTACTTCCCGAGACGGGACAGGAACGGGTGACCTTACCCAGGCCTGCCCTGCTCCATCCGTTCACTAGACCCCAGCAGGCTCCCTGCTCCCGCTCTACCTGCTGTGCCTCCATGGCTCCAGGACCCCCGGCTGCACACCCAAGGACTCCTTTCTTCCCCAGTGCGGCCCCGTTCTGCTGGGACCGATCACTCCCTTTCCTCGCTGCCTGAAATACTCCATTCTCAGGATTCACCCAAGGACACCCTACACGGAGGAATCATCTGCCAGGGCCAGGGCCTGGTCCCATCCCCGTCCCATCCCCATCCCTCCCCTCCAGCTGCCACCCCGGGGAACAACCCCAGCTTGATGCCCTTTGCTAAAGCTGCTCACACGTCACCCCTTTGGCAGCAAGTGCCACCAAGAAGGGACCGTGCCCCACAGGACCCGGGATCTGCCCTTCTCTCCACCCTCCACACACGGAGCCCTGCATGCACCCCTCGCGGCCCCACAACCCGCGCTCCCTCAGGCCCCAGCTCTTTCCTGCACCCCCAGACCTCACACAGCACCCCTTCAGGGCCCCCACCCCACACCCCATCACCTCCCCACGTTTCCTCCGGGTCCTCCTGCATCCTCCGGGACCCTGACCTTGCACCCCCGGCCCCATCTCCTCCTCCCTGCATCCTCCGGGACGCCCCACCCTGCACCCCCCGGCCCCCCACCTCGGGGCGGGCGGTCCCTTCGCGGCAGGGCCGCCGCCCGGCCGGG